CTCAGGTCCACTTCAGTCATTACACACACTGAGAGAGGCTACATAAGAGCTAGAATAAGACTTTAGAGTCCAATATCCCCAGCTGTTTGATTGAGAGTGAGAGAAAAATTTGAAGGACTAAATTTCTTCAAGGGAGGGAGAGTTGTAACACCAACAATTTTTTTTTAATTAAACAAAGGATAAATATAATTTTTATTAATTTATTTTACTTTATTGTATTTTATTTATTTTATTTGGGGTAAAAAAGTGAAATAAAATTGATGGAGGATTAAATTAAAAATAGTTTTGGGAAAAATGGGAGAAAATTTGGGTTCTGGAGGTATTTTTGAAAGAAAAATTAGAAAATATGGGGCAAAATACAATTTTAGAAAGTTTTACCATGTCAGACACCCGGTCAGTAGCCCTGAACAACCAGGACGTGCCAAGTGGTAGAAACGCTGACGCAGGAGACCACGCGGGAGGCCACATGGGCGATCTGCGTCCCCGCGATCGAATGACTGAGGTCCATTCTCGTGCGCACGGATGGCCTGGATGCACTCCCTCCCAAACATGATCGAATGGCCAGATTCAAATGCTATTGGATGGCCCAGAGTGAATCGCAATGGACGACCTAGATTGGATTGGGATGAACAGTCCAGATTCACTCCGTATTTAATTATGATCAGACGATTAAGATCAAACGTGATGGATGACCTAGATAAAAAGTGGATGGATATAAATAAACCCCATTCGCACCAAACCCTAACCCTAGCCACCAGAACCCCTCGCCGGAGAAGACGACCCAGTCGCCGGGGAGCCGACCGCCAGAATCTTTTCCAACCGCCAAAAAAGGTAAAAACTTTTTTTTTTTACATGGAATTCAATTTTAAGCTCGCCCATGGCTAAATCAGAGCAAAAGACCGGCCAATTAGCCGAAAAATACTGATAAAGTCTGGCACCACCGCCGCAGAGAATTTCACAAAACACCTCTGATGAGGCCCTTCCTGATTCCCGTTTTGCATAATTTTTTCACCGTTGTGATAATTGTTTTCTTCTCTACAGGTTGATCGAAGCAAAACACCCAACCGCAACATGAGCCAGAAGAGCCGCCGCACTAGAGAGCCCCACCGCTGTTGAGTTTTGATTTTTCCTATTTTTTCGGCTAATCGAGGCCCTTTAACATTTTTTTTTGCATAGATCTATGCAAAATCGGCCGAATTCGGCCGAAAATGACTGACCTGAGGCGGACCGCCGCTGGAGCAGCTGTGCCGTGATTCTGAAATTTACCGAGTGGGCCCTGGGACTGATTTTGGGTTTATTTAGAATATTTATAGGTACTATTAGTACATTTTAGTTCTCGAAGAAAAATTCAGGAAACCCTGGGACCGTCCGTAGGCGCAGTAAATAATTTAGCTTTTCGAGTGTCAAATCGAGTAAGGATCCCTCACCCTATTCTTTATCATAGAACTGAAGTTTAAATAAATAATAATGTGGTATTTATGCGATTTTAGTAAATATGCATAATTAATTACGGGTTGCT